ATATATATATATATATATATATATATATATGCACTTTGCATAGCTGCCTACATATAGGCCCAATTACACCACAGTGGTGAGAGGGAAAAAGAAAAAACAGCAGAGGATTTATTTTCTTATCACCACCCTCATCCCCTAAAGGCTAAAACTCGAGAAAATATCCCCCTCTCCTTCTCTAAATGCATCCACAAGCAACTGTAACTGCATGTACATGCGTGAATTTATGCATATGCTGATATTTATACAAAGAAACACTATTATATATAGATAATGGTGTTTCTTTGAATAAATATCAGCACATAAAGTAGCAAAGATTAAATAACTGTTCTCTTCCTCTCTCCCTATCTTTCTCCAAATTTGCTTTTCTCTGTTCTTCTGCTTGCTGCTTTCTCGCCTTTGTTGTTGCTGCATGCATTTATTAGCGTCTGAATTAATATTAGTGTTAGGGAGGTGTGGTTTTACGCACACAACAATTGGCAGCAGGCAGAAGGGCGTGACGGCCAGAGTAGAAACGCAAAGAAGTCTGCGAATAGAGGTGCTGCTGCAGCAATACATATACACCAGAATACCCCCTAGAGAAGCTAAACTCTGGAACAACGCCATACGCCCCAGCAACTCAGGCCCGAAGTGCAGTTCGTTCGTCATGAAATAAAACATTATAGATCCAGCTGACGGAGTCGCCTGCAGCAACAGCAGCAACAACAGCAGAAACAGCAGCATGATTCAGCAACACACAATACCCTCATTTATGCGCATGCGCACTCACAGCAGCAGCAGCATTTCAAACAGCATCTCCTGCAGCAGCAGCACCTCCTGCAGCAGCCTCATCTGCAGCATTTCGAGCAGCATCAGCTGCAACAAGATCAGCATCAGCATCAGCTGCAGCAGCATTAGCAGCAGCATCAACTGCAGCAGCATCAGCAGGAGCATGAATAGCAGGTAGGTTTACCATCATGACGAAGATGAATAGAGTTGAGTTGAGGAGTACGGGTTGTTTGAGAACTTTCCAGAGCTCTTTGAATTGCTGCTTTGGAGGTAATACTGTTTGAATTTGCGGTTCTTCAAGAGCAAAAGTAGCAAAAAGAACAGCAGCAGGCAGTGCAGCAGCAACAACAAAGACGTATTGCTTCGCCATCACTGCCAGCAGCAATCCAGACAGATAAGAAACAGTAGCAAAGCTAAGCTTGCGGAAAGCAAAGAAAACAGACACAGTACGCGCTGTAGCCTCTTCATTTACATCTCTTCTTCCAGCTTCAACTACAAGGGCCTCTCCTATGACATTGCAGATAGCAGAACCCCAGAAGTATAGAAGAAGAAGCAGAGTTGTTGCATAAAGAGACTTATAGCCCCCTAAGCCTATTCCTAGGGTTGCAACGATGCACATAGATGCACCTAAAAAGATATATGATTTTCTACGATATCCAAATAGAGGGAAATTATCTGCAGCAAGAGCCCAGAGAGGCTTCACCGTCCAAGGTAGACGAAGAGCCCCCAGAACAACCGCTAGAAGTGCTGGATCTATACGAAAATCATCTTTAAATAAATATAATATCGCCAAGTTGCATAATACTTCCACTCCCTGCAGCATCGCTATTAAAGAACTCACAACACGCGTTGCAAACGGTACAGGAATTAAACCCTTTTCATCCAGCAATGCACGGCCTTCTTCAGGTACAGATGAATCCCACTCTCCGCTGCTACCTGCAGCAGCAACAACAGCAGCAGCACAGCAGCAACAGCAGCAGGTTAGGAAGCAGAAAACAACCTGCAAAAGGCGTCATTCTGGCCACAAGATGCAGGACGCAGAGACACAGGGGGTTGGATAGTGCAGAAGAAGAAGAATTACATAGATGTGCAATGCATTCAACAAGTAAAGATTAACGCAAGACGTACACTGCTTGGTGGGCTTCTGGTGCTGCGCGCTGATTGAAACATCTTCAGCATCCACGAAGGGAAGAGAGAGCCCTGGCGCCTTCTCCATTTTCACAACCCAACGAAATACCTGATGCAGAATATGCGGACCTTTCCAGTGTACGTACCCCCACTTGTACGTACAGTGTACGCTGTGCGATGCCTAGATGATAAAGCTCTTATCGCAATCAGAAACAGGCGAAGCAGCACTTTTTTTAAGTAGCTTCAAAGAAGAACACGTACAAAGAAAACCAGAGGACTTGCCCTATTCAGAAGATGCACAGAAGAGAGCAAATAATCTCAATAGAGCTCCTGTTTCATCTCGATTTAAACTAGAAAAGAGTTTTGTTCCAGTATCTGTGCGTCCCGCCGCGGAGGTCAGACTGGGTATCAGCCGGCCCCCTCAGGCCTTTGCTTTTTTCTGTTGGTTTCCACAAATTGCATTCCGAAGAAATTCAACAATTTCATTCATGAAAGCAGTCGATTTCCGTTGGTCTGCTCGCCTCCCTACTGCGGCTCCACTGCGAAGCCGTACGCGGGAGAGAGGGGAAACTGCACTTTTTAGGAAATGCAGTACACCTCCATTGATGCATTTCAATAAATGTATTCAAGCAGAAGAAATTTGAACAACATTACTTCAGATCGCGTCAAGAATGCACAGCTGAGGGAAGCGGACCTCGATGACAGCGGCGGCCCTTGAATCAAGCACTGAACATCCCTCTAATCGGGAAAATGTAGACCTAGAAGGAATTTTAAATAAATACTTGTATTTAAAATTCCATTTTATTACCTGGAAATTCAAATTTGTGGCACTTTTAGGCGCACTACTGATTTATTCCTCTCTTTCCATCAAACGCTGGAAGCGTTCGACAAGTCGCGTCGGGTGTACGTACACGCGAAGGTCCACGGCTGGTCTTCTAACAGCTCGGGCGGTTCGAGAGCAGCTTTCCGCATAACAAAATGTTTGTTTCAGCCATCTTAATGCGTTATTTGAATCTTTACACCAGAAAAAAGATGTTTAAAGACAGACTTCCCTCCTATTCTTAATCAGAAGTTCTGTAGCTAACGAGCACAACACAGCTGAGCACAGCACAGTGCAGAGCCGTCAGCAGCTGCATATGCAATATCTTCTTCTTTTTTTGTTCTCACACTGTCTGGTTTCATTCTTTTGTATTTTCGTCTCATTTCCACTTTCACTTTGTATTTCTGCTTCTTCTTCTATCAACTCTGCCGATCTTCTCCTCAGCTTGCTCCTATGAAGACACCTGGGGCTGACCCCTCGACGGCGCCGCCTAGCACACAAGCACACACACGCGCGTTGCTTGATCTGTTTTCTTTCCCTTTTACCTACACGATCTAGGTGGCTGCGTAATGATATAGCTGCTGATTTGCCAGTAACATCCGAGGAGGGGAGAGGCATGGAGTCAACAGGGCTTCAGCTGTGGGGCTGCTTCTCTTCCTTCTGGATCGGGGGCCCTGACACTTGGTTCAGAAGAGGAATACAAACTCTTGTTAAAAGGAGCTCCTTCCTCTCCCCTGCATGCGCTGCCTCAGCTGTGCGGCTGAAGCCCTTCGCGGGCGTGCCTTTCCTCTGCCTTCAGCAGCAGCCTGCAGCGCTTCAAGCTGCTGTAGATACACCCAAGCAGCAGCAGGAAGGAGCAGCAGAAGCGGCAGCAGAAGCAGCAGCAGCAGAGGCCGCTCCCCAGCAAGAAAAGCGAACACCGGGAGCAGCAGAAGGAGGAGGAGGCGCGGCAACCGCAGCAGCAAATGCAGCAGCAGATGCAGAAGCAGATGCAGCAACAGATGGAGCAGCAGATGCAGCAGCAAAGAACAACAACTATAGGCTTCACTTTTGCGATGAGACGAACGAACCTGAAGATGTTTGCAACGCTCAGTGGTTGGTGGTGGGTGCAGGTTGTCTGTCTGCTGCGGTGTATGTCTCTGTACACCTGGTGTTCTATCGAAAACAATTAAAAATATTCTTAAATATATAGCATATGACTCCTTCTCTCTCAGCCCATCCGCCTCACATGTTGTTTTGCGGTGTATGTACTTCGTAATGCCCTTGCATTGGCTGCATGCGTTGGGGTGTACGTACAGCTCTGGAGCTACGCTGCATACGCACCCGAACGGCCTTCAGATGAAGAGCAGCAGCTATTGAAGAACTTCTTTGAATTCTTCCCTGATCAATGCACAGAAGGGCCCGCAGCAAACTGCTACACAGAGGCAGTTAAGAAGAATCCCCCAAGGTGAGGGGTGTACGTACACCTCAATTGCACACTCCTCTCTGAAGCTGCATATTAGCTGCAGCAGCAGCAACTGCAACAGCAGCAGCAAACAGTAACAGCGGCAGCAAACAGGACCAGCAGCAACGCCAAAAGTAGCGGCAGCACATATCAGCAGCAGCAGCACATAGCAGCAGCAGCAGCAGCAGTAGTAGTAGTATTAGTAGTATGTGTGTTGCATGTTGCTTGTGGTTAAGACAGCTGGTTGTAGTATTGGGGTGTATAGGGAGCTGTTGTTTGCAAGGGAATGCGGAAGTGGAATAATCATCCATTGATATAAATGTTGAATTTGAATGCATTTATATTTCTTTCTTGCGGTGTATATGCACCTGCATGCAGAGTTAGCTCTCGAAGAGATCTCCTTCTCTGGTTGTGTTTAGTAGAAAATCAGTGCAGACAAAAGATCGGGGCTCCTTTAAAGCCATGCAGGTAGGCAGTGATAATATGAATTATGTATTTTTATCTCTATGTTGTTTGTTTGTTTTGCTTATCTGATCGTTTTGCTTGTTTGTTTTGTCTGTTTGTTTGTTGTGTTTGTCTGTCTGTCAGTTTTGTTTCGTTCGTTTTGTTTGTTCGTTTTCTTTGTTGTGTTTGTTTGTTTGTTTTGTTTGGTTTGTTATATCTACCTGCTCGTTTGTTTGTTTGTTTATTTGTATGTTGATTTGTTTGTTTGTTTCGTTCGTTTGTTTAGTTGATTTGTTTGTTTATTTTTATTTGTTTTCTGTCTTTAATATTAGGTTTCTGCGCTTATTATTTTTATTATTTGTTGCTTGTTTCTGCTGCAGATACCGAGAATTAATGAGGCGTTGGCGATATACAGACGGTTATGTCTGAACGAGGCATTACGAATAGAATATAGATGCATGCAACTCAGGTGTACGTACACCTGGAGTCGTCTTCAATATATATTTGTGCATATATATATATATATATATATATATATATGCACATATGGATATCTCCATCTATATATGCAT